AAAAGCCTCTCTTCTCTTTCATATTTTTATTTACTTTATAGTTTTATTACGCTAAGGGTTTGTTTGGATTTAATTTTATTTTTTATTTATTATTTAGAGTCTTTGAGCCAATTAGTATTTCATTTCTTTCTCGCCCTGATTATTATATGCTGCATTGTGAAGCGAGGCAGATTGTTAGGATTGGGTATAATTATTGGATCCTAAATTGCATGATCTTTTGCTTAAACATCAAATGACTATATTTCTTAAATATGATAAATAACCTGTAATTAAATGTATGAGTTCTGGGGGAGTTTTTCATGTATTTGATGTCATTAATTGATGAAATATATAAGTATTTATAGGATTTTAAAATGAAATTCATATATTAATCGATATAGTTTTTTTTCTTATATGTTTCATGAATATTTGAAGCATCACAATATATATATATATAAAAGACTGCCCAAGTTTTCTTAGGTTTACTTCTACCTTTCTCAACATAAGTTAAACTAAAGCATCTATTGTGGTATTTCCTACGTTTTCTATGTTATTGGTATCATTTTATGATTTATGTAGTATTCATTTTTTTAATGCAATATACATGTAAGAAGGAAACATGGGAAGCATTGGGAGAAAAGTAAATTTTAAGTCTTGCATTGGTGCCTAGACACCAAAGAATTTGTCATAATGCAGAGCAGTTGAAAAGTCAAAGCCCAGAACAAACGCCCCTGTGCCTAGGAGCAACGCCTCGTTGCCTATTTCCTGTAACATGATCCAGACTTCCCCTTCGTGCCAACAAACCTGGCAGGTTGAAACGCGATAATTCATGCTGGCTCTTAGGCGCCCAACAACTTTTTTAGGTTGTTTTGACGGTTTAGAGATCGATTTGGGTTAAATACATGATATTTGATGGGGTGGAGGCCGATTCTCATTTCTTTCTTACTTAAGTGCAATGTGAGAAATGGGAGACAGGTCATCCGTGTGTATTCTGTGTGAGACTTTGGGAGAAAAGAGAGGGAGAGAAGAGTTACTGTAGTTAGGAGAACAAGCAAAGTGAGTCTTCACTATAAGAGGAAAGATTGTGGTGGAACAAAGATGATACTTATCAGGTTTGATTGTTCTTCATTTTAAACACTTTTTAATTTAGATTTTATTGAATGTTTCTTTATTTTCTTCTCAAATGTTTAGGAGCTAAGTTCTTCGTGCTTCTTTAACTTAATAATTTAATGAATCAACTTCTCTCTATTTGATTTTCCTAAGACACATGATGGTTTTATTGCATGTTGGTGTCTTATCTTTTGAATCTTGATTTTCTTTTGTTATGGCCAATTAAAATGTTAAAATCACTTGTGATCTAAAGCTACTGATCATAGGCTAGATGAATAAGTAAGATAACACTCAGTCACTTTGTAAATAAGAATGTTATCAGTAGGAGCTTACAATTGTATAGGAGACTAGAGGTTCCTGAGAGACTTTATAGGGTTAAGCAAACTTAAACAAAATATGAGACTCCAGTGTTTATTATGTTTTGAAATAGAGTAAGAAGTAATTGTCCATGTTTTTCAACATTATGTAGGAGAAACTCATTGAAAGAAGATTGAGGATTCACACGATCAAATTCAAACAAACATGTCTCTTACTCTGAATGCCAAAACACTTTGAATAGCTTTCAAAATATATAGGAGTATATAAAACCTTTAATAAACTCATAATTTCAAACTACACCTAGGATTAACAAATAAGAAATTTGCCTCTATCAATAATTAACCAATTTCATGTGGGATTGATACAGACAAATAATTTTTATTTTAATTGATTGAGGATTTACACAATCCAATTCAAAGAAGCATATCTCTTACTCAGAATGCCAAAAAACTTTGAATAGCTTTCAAAATATTTAGGAGTATATAAAAACTTTAGAAAACTCATCATTTCAAACTTCACATAGGATTAACAAATAAGAAATTTGCCTCTATTGATAATTAACCAATTTCACGTGGGATTGATACACAGACTAATAATTTGTATACTACTTGATCGATAAAAATACTATCTTGATTAACGTTTGCTTCACCACATTGTGAATCACAGGCTCATCAAATGGTAGATGTACCATGTCGTCTAAGATGACTCTTTTTAATTTTGTCTGTCACTAGATTACTATAACTATTTCATGGATATATTTTTTCATGTTTAGTCTCCACGTGGAAAACTACTCATCCATCTAAGCATTCTCATCTCTGTAACATTTAATTTTAAGTTTCTCTTTTACAGGCCAACATTCTAGGCCCTAAGTTAGTACAGGTATCACCACCATCTTATAAAAAATTCCTTAAAGTGGTAATTAAATACTACTTATAACATCCCCATCTCTATCATCATCACTTTGAATAATTAAACTTAGATATATAAAAGCTTCACTCATTTTAATGACTTGATCACCCATAGTTTCAACTCCATGACTAGATCTACTATTACTAAAATTACATTTCATGTATTCATTTTTAATTCTGCTTAAATGAAAGCCTTCAGACTTTAAAGTTGACTTTCATAGTTCAAGTTTTTCCTGAACTCTCCCTAGTCTTTTATCGACAAGAAGGATATCATCAACGAAAAATATGCACCAAGATTCCTGTAAATATTCAGTAAGAACATCTTTAAATAAAGCGAAATGGTATGAATATAAAGCCGACCCCTAATGTTATCCGATTGAAATAAGAAAATACTGAATGAATCTGTGTGTTTGGACACAAGTAACAACTACAACATGCGTATCTTTAATAACTTAAATATTTGTGTATATTTGATAAAAAATTTCAGTCACATTATTACGATTTTTTTTTTCTCTCATTTACTACCTGAACAACTGATTGGGTGGACATGAACTGGAACAGCTGTTTTCATAAAGTCAAAAGCTCAGAAATAATTTTCAGAAATTATATTAATTTTTGGGGCACTTACATACATACCACCCAATTATTTCTTGTTTTTACATATGTAAGCCACAAAGTTTACTTTTTATATTTATAACACGCAAATTTTTTATATCCCATCAAAATATCAAAATTTAAAACTTTAAAAAGTGACATGCACATTTTGATATATCTAAATATTGAAGTTTAGGTGTTAGATATATAAATACATGAGAATTGAGTGGTATTCTTGTAAATCTTCATAATTTTTTTCCAAGTTCCAATCTGAGATTAAAACCTAAGATAGGAGAGAGAGGGGGGAGGGAGGGAGGGAGGGAGGGAGATGAACATTAATTTAAAGGAAATTTGTAACTTTTTATTCATATGTATGGTGTACCCCCACTTTAATGGGGATTGTACAAGTTATTATAGGCAGTATTTTACATATGTGAGCCCAGAGTCTGGTAAGTCTAAGTTTCCATTGGCTAGATTGACTAATCCATTGAAAGGTGTTGCTGGTTGGCTAAGCTAGAGAGCCACATCGGTTGGCCTAGTCTAGTAACACTACCGATCAGCTTGGTCTGAAGCTGCCAATTGACTAGACTCTTACTGACAAAGAGTCGGCAATGTTGATTTGATCGGCTAAATGGTATCGACGGGTTTGATATAGTATAACTGTCGATTCTCACTTTATGATAAAGAGCTCATGTTGGCTGAGTGAAGCTAAGCTATCGGGCAGAGGCTGAATCGCTGTAATCCAATATATAATTGTCCTTGGATGAAGAAATCTTAAGGGATGGTTGAGATCCATCTTATTGACTCTTGATGACTGAACACCTCTAAGGGAATTGTAAGACCCAAAAGTTTAGCTTTTCCTCTTAGGTTGGTTCTAGATTTCCCCATACTCGTCGATCGGCCGAAATGCACAATTTCGGATCACTTGGCTGCCTTCCACTAGGCTCGATGACGATGATTAGATGTATGCGCCCGTGAATCTCCTATTGATGGACCTTCCTTTAATACGTCTTGTTCAATCTATATCGCTAGATCTCCTCTAAGATTCAAGCAGGTACCTCTCTCCGTGCACAATTTCTAAATTATTTCTGACAGGTACTCAGACCGTCTAGTTCCAGCACAATTCTATTTAAAAAAAACAGAGAATTGCTCAACGACCACCGGTTTGCTTTTAACACCAGCAGACTCAACGACAACGTTGACCATCTTTTTTTTTTTTCCTTGAAATTTTATTAAATAACATATTTAAAATATACTTTTTCCGGTATAAAAATCAAAAGAAGCCAAATACTTGTTTGTCCTATGAAAATATAATTCCTTTGAATCCGAGTGATTAAGATTCTGTTAACACTAATTAATTTAATGACGCAGATGTTATTAGTTAATTATATCAAACTGCATGATTAGATTACGTTAGGAATTTCTAAGAAGAAAATTAATTTGCGTCAGATTAGAATGATCTTTAAATTCTTAAAATTTGTTGGGTTTGTCGTTTTGTTTATTTAACTATATCCTACCAATTGCATAAATCGAATAAGCGAAAACAAAGTACTGATGTTTTTATTATGAAGATTTACATTCATACCGCTCAGTTCTTATGTATTTACATATCTAACACCTAACTTTACCTATGCATGAAAAGATGTATTTTACTTTTTAAAAGCTAAAGGAGCAGCCAAGCGTACAAATCTAGTATTCTCTTTCATTCATTTTCAAGTTGTCACTCAAATATTAAAATACATATATCCCACCTTAGCTATGGTAGCTAGATATGTAAATAACATGTTTCAGGTGTTATTTATGTAATGTAGTTAACCCAAAGTTAACATAGGATGGTATAAATGTCAAAAGCAGTTAAATGTTTAATATGTATGTAAATACATAAGAATTGGGTGGTAATAAGTAAATTCCCCTTATTATTATTATTATACTACTCATGCTATATGTCACGGACAAATAGTCCCACATCGGCTAGATGTAGGGCCGAAATACAGTATTTAAATCCTGGGCTGCCGACCTCTCTTAAGGGCTCTTTTGGGAGATGACAAGTGGTATCAAAGCAGATTACTGTCTGCCAGGTGTGTGCTCTCCATGGTCCAGTGGGACCCTCGGTGGAGCCGATCCGTGACGAGGGCGTCACGTGATTGGGTGGAGGAGAATGTCATAGACAAATACTCCCACATCGACTAGGTGTAAGGCCGAAAAGCAGTATTTAAGTCCTGTACTGCCCTCCTCTCTTAAGGGCTCTTTTGGGAGATGACATATAGCTACAAATATCACACTCGATAACAAATTTTTTATTACATATAGACCGAGTTTGGCATACGTGGTAAATATAATATAGTGTCCTGCAATTTTTTTTTCCAACAAAAAATAAAAGAAGGTAGACAAAAGCAGACAGTGTTAGAAATAAATTAAGTTTTTTTGTCCTCTTTAATTTATTTGTAGCTTATTTCTAATTTAAATTTATGACATCTGATTTTCTGTCATCTGTCTGCAAAACATAATGCAGAAGAATTACGTTACAGATACATTAATAAGGGTGGGAAAATAAAAGTATTTTTAAATAAAATTTGTCTCGTCTGATAGATTTTCGTCTGTTTGCTTTTGTTTTAACTTTCTAAGCGAAGTTTGTATCGTCCAATAGATTTTAGTCTAATATTATATCACTAAATGTAAGGCATTTGGCAATATGATTTTCCACATTATATTGCGATTAAAAAATTGGCTGTTCTACAGTGATGTTTAGATTGGGACTTGAACATAATACATTAGAGATTGGAGACATAATAAGTTTGAAATATATGCGACGTGAAATTAAATTGGAGCCATTTCTAAAATTTATATTTCAATATTATATGAGTAAAACACTAACATTCTTCGTAATTACAATGCTCTTCTAAATTAAATGCGGCGATTGACAAATAAGAGAGGTTGATAAATATTATTTATTGTGCAGGAGTTTGTTGGGACTGAGGTTTACTAGGGCTAGAGAGGAGAAAATATTACATACGGTGAACATTTGTACAGAGAAGGGTGCTTATACATGGAGGTCCCCACATTTTGTTTTGCGTCCTGGACCGCTAACATGCATATGTTTAGTTGTATGTAGTTTTGCGAAATTGTTATAAAATTTTCATTCGAATGTGAATCATAGGTATGTCCCAATGTAACATTTGCTTCTTATTTGGTTCTAATTTCACCAGATTTGGTCTCTCTCTCTCTCTCTCTCACACACACACACACATACATCATAGAAGAGTTTAGTTTTATGTATCGCACATTATTTTTCCTTGGCATCTTCGTGATGAGACATGTCTCAATAACTTATATTTTAAACATTTGTCTACAATTTATATCTTCTAATTTTATTCAATGATATGTAGCACATGGGCTCCCAATCACTAGATCATATCTTAGAGGGCATTCACTCAACTTGGAAAATCGATCCAAACTAAGTATTAGTCTAGTTCAAAGGATTCAAACCAAGAACACTCGCTTAAACTAAGAGAATCAAAATCTAGGGGCACTTGCTTAGCCCATGAAATTCAAATAGATATGATGCTCACCCAGATTAGAGAGTCGAAGCTTATAATAGACTTGCCTAATTTAGAGGAGGAATAACTTTCCCTCAACAATATTCCTAAGAGAGATGGAATGAACTATCAAGTTTGGAGTGGTGACCTCTCTAGACAACATTAACTCTCAAACACTTATTAGGGGGCAACAAATTATGTGTATTATAATTAACACGCCCTCCTGTCTATAATTAATGTGTCAAGCTTCTAAGTTTTAGACCAAAATATAGACGTTTCTATAATACTAAAACTCTCATAAATATGAGATTAAAGTATTACAAAAGGGATAAGACACAATAGCATAAAGAGAAATATTGGAATATACTTTGAGTGACAAAGTGATATCCAAATATAATAATATTATAATCAAACCGAGCATCTTGATGAGATGAATCGAATGAATTTCAGATCACTTAATTCCGATGTCATTAATACATTCAATTACTCATAAAACTACATTCAATCAAGAGAATCCTTTTGGGTCGTCCGATGGAGTGGATCGAATTCATTCAATATTTACAAAGGATGCAAAAATCAATAAATAGACCTCCATCATTCTCTTCTTGGAAAGGGGCTTGACAGTGATGAAGAGGTTGAAGGAAGCTCCAAGATCATGAAGATTCTCGAGCTCCACTACCATTAGGCCAACGTCTTCAGGCTACCACCACAGCCATCTCCAGACCACCGACTCTAAACCATTATTGTGTTAGGCTCCCGACGACGGACCAACATCGCCACGCCTGACAACAATCCCTACAGACCAGCGATGCCAAGTCAATGCCTCCAAGGCATTGTCGTCGGGTTATTATTACAATCGGACCACCAACAACGGAGCGATGTCGAGCCACGACCTCCACCATAATTGAGCCACATCTGTCGCTGTGAGGCTGTCATCATCACATCATTTACACCATGTCAGACCACCGCCATTGGGTTGATATTGCCACTAGACCATTGTGCCACCCCTATTGCCATTAGGCCTCCATCGTTGGACCACCACCATCATACCAAACCACCATCGTCAGGTTGCCGCTACCACATGACCACTAGATCAACTTATTCCCAACTATTCAAACAATCATGGGGTTGTTCAAGAATAAAAAATTCCAAGTGGTGATAGGTTGAGGTTTTTTATAGTTTAAAGTGTGAAGTATGCTTCAATTACGAAGATAAAACAAAAAACATAACTAACTTTTGAAGATAATGACAAGACAGAGACCCTCATTTGCCTATCTTCATACTGTATTTCAAGTTTCATCCCACGACACAATTTATATACAAAACTCTTTAATTTGTTTATTACCACCATTATTCTTATACCAATCATCTCTTAAGTATATGAATCTCCCTTCCCCATTCCCTTGTAGGCAAATTTACATATATAGTTATATACCACACAATTCCAATGTATTTACAGAGCTAACACCTGAAATTTGATATTTACATAGTGTTATAAATCTTGCATGAAAAGATGTATGCCTCCTTTAAAAACCAATACTAGTGATATGCATGTAAATACCAAAAAAAAAAAAAAAAATGAATATATATATATAAATATATATATATATATATATATATTATTGATGCTGAATTTTCCTATTACTTGATCTCTCCCTTATTCTTCGGTGTATCCATACTGACAATTGGCTCACCTATGAATGAAGGATTCGCTAAACTCTACAACGCCGGCTTCTCCCTGCGGAGTCTCCAATGCTGCTTCATCTCTGCAACACAATCTCAAACAGATCGGACTCTCCATCTAGAACATCTTCAGAGCTTCCACTGCTCTTTTTACAACTCATGCTACTATTCTGGTTCTTCCTTCTTCCGCCATGACCGATCGACTCTGTTTCTATCCGTGCGACAGAGAAAAGTTCCTGACTATTGACCACCGATCCTATCTTGAGATCTCCAGCTTCTTCGCCGGTAAGCGGCCGGAAAAAGCAGGGGTTCGTGGTGCGCGCGGCGTTTGCCGGCGTGTACTTGAACGGCGCTTGCCCCAAATTCACAAGCAATTTGGTCTCCACGTTGGCCGCCAGAAAAGGAAACAGAGGACTGCTATATGCCTCTGAGTTACATCGGATGACATGCGCAACCTGAGAGTCTACTGTGAAGAATACCCTGTTCTTGCTCGGTGCGAAACCGCAGCCAATCACTTTGTTGACGGCTGCCCATTCTGCTGTTTCAGACTCAAACACCAGTTTTCTCTCTGTGAATAACATCATCGGATTAGCAAAAAACTTGAAAATCTCGTCTTTCGTCGTCAACAATGATAAAAAAGATTGAAATTTGAAAATGTTTGGAGATTAATTTACTTACCATCAAGGAAAAGGGAACCATTTGAGTGGAACCCAATTGATCCAGGATAAGTTCCTGGCATGAATTTGATCGGCAGGGCAATACTGCTGGTTAGCCCCAAGGCAATGGCACCGATGCCGACTGATATTCCTTCCTCTGCAGCAAAATTCGAGTTTGAGGAAACAGAGCGAGCGCCCATTGAATTATCTCTGATTAGTTTGGCTCGATCGCTTTCACGATTCTTCATGCTCTTCCTAGTGGTTAAAACAGGCTGCTTGAGGAAGACGATGGTGATTTCAAAATAAGCTTCTTGGGGAAATGAACCGCCTCCCAAGGCCGGTCCGGGGAGTGGGAGGCCTGTTCGAACCCAAGAAAAGGATGGCTCGTCGGCGTTATTCTTCTGTGGCGGATTAAGTCTAACGGCTTGCATGAGCTCCGACGAACCGGCGGGGAGCTCCCAGCTGATTCCCGGCGATTTAGGCTGTGTTCCGCCATCGCATGTGACGCAGAGGGCCCAAAGTGCGGCTGAAGATGGCGAGCGAGGGATGGTGTTGGAAAAAGCGAAGCTTTGCCAGCCGTTCTCAACAGCCACGGCGATGAGGCGGGGATGGTTTTCCCACCGGAAGGTGGTCTCCGGCGGTGGAAACGGGCTGTCGAGATGGTGGAAGCGGAGGCTGTTGCGGGCCGAAGTGCCGGATTTGTGTGGTAAGATGAGCTTGTTGATGTTGGAGTTGAAGGAGTCGAATTTGTATTTAGGGGCGGGTTCTGAGAAGTGGATGCTAGCTTGGGGGCTGATGAGCAGCTGTTGACGCCTCCACCGCCGGCGATATAGGAGGAGGAAGAGGGCGAGGATGAAGAAGGAGGGAATCGCGCCGGAGATTATTTTGGCCCATAATTTCATTTCGGTGATGAGAATTTCAGTTTTGTGTGGGAATTCGTTGAGTTTGAGAGATAAATGCTCCTTTTTTTATTCTTCTTCGTTATGAGAGGAAGGGGGAATGGAGGAAGAGCCTGCGAATCAATGCTTGCTGAAACTAAAGACGGATATGAGAGGAGGGAGAGGGAGGACATTAGGCGTTATTTTGGGGCATTTACATGTATACCACCATTTCATATATATTTACATATATAACTTCTAAAATTTATTTTTTTCATTTATATCTCACAAATGCCAAATATTTCTTATCACATCAAAAATATAAATATTTTAAAGTTTAAAAAATGAAATATATACTTTCATGCATGTTTTTGTGCTTTAATAGACAAAATATTTTTTATTGAAATACTCTTAAATGGACTAAACTATATAAGAATATAAATTTAAACAAATATATTATATTTTTTTAATTTATTTCTTACCATCAAATAACATAAATAAATTCTGATAAATTAATTCATTGAATGATGAAATAAAAATTTATTCCATTATCTTAAGATGCATAATCACTAATGACAACTATATTATTTTAAATAACGTATATAATATAAAAAATTATGAATATTTACCTTCATACTGAATGCTTCTTGTGAAATAAGCGTGTCAAAATCGCAGAAGAGGATAATGGGTTGAGGTCCTCTAGAGTTGACCAGGTTAGGATTAATGGAATGGCAAAAAGATTAAAGATGCATGATATTATATAATCAATATAAGTATATATGTGATAAATAGATATTATTTTATATGATAATAAATAATTAATTTAAAAAATGATGAATTGAATATGATTGATAATTATGTGTTAATTAAATAATAATATTAATTAATAAACTTGCATTAAAAAAATAAATATGTCATTAATAATTATTCTTATAATATTATTAATATTAAATTCACAATATTCATTTGGACAATGGAAATTAAATTTCTAAGTAAATTTTCATTTTAACGATGAAAATTAGATTTTGCATTAGAGGATGTAGTGAACACTCTTACATCATCTGAAATGTTTTCTTTCAAGAATATATCTACAAGAGTGCTAGTAATCTACTAAGAGTTGTTGAGACAAGAATACTTAGGTGGATTAGTGGCTTTCCACTTGGAAAGAACATGCGAAAAAAATTAACTCGTGCAATGTTTGGTGCAGCTAAGGTGACAGATGAAATTAGAATAAATAATTCGAAATAATTTTAGTTCAATTATCAATCTTCGACAACTTTAACAGTAGTAAGCTGTTAACCTTCTGATTTCTAGCAAAAATTGGGTCGGACAGAAAGAAATTTGAATCAAAATTTTAGCTCGTAGCTCGGCTCGTTTATTTTGATTTGATCTCTATTCGATCCAAAATTCAAATTAATCAATTTTCAAGCTATTAACATTGTTCGAGCTATCTAAAATGTTCAGTATGTTTAATGATTTGATCACCTATTCTTATAACTTTGATATTATGTCAACTACTAAAATCAAATTTCATGTACTAAGTTTAATGCACTTTATAATGTGGTGATTTCTGACTGGTTTGAAGATATATATATGAATATTTATACATCAAGTTCATGGATATATAATAAAATTTATCCAGATAGAAATGGATCACCGAAGAGTTCTTGAAATGTGTAGACGCCTTTGTGATTGCAATATCACAACTTCCATCTTACCTACCTGGGGGTAGATTTCAGTGTCCATTTTCAAAACACATGAATCGAGCACACTTAACGCCCGACAAATTAAGATATTATTTATATTGTCATGGGGTTCAGCTTGATTACTTGATCTAGACTTCACATAGGAAGGTTGACCTTGCAAGATTCAGCCCAGTTCCTTCGACGAGTTATGATCCTCTACTTGAATTTCACTCAAGTAGATTTGAAAAGATGATCTTTGATGGGACAAGATAGCATTATCCGAGTCAAGTGCAGGAAGAGACATCAAATCAGAAGGCTTTAACTTTTTATGATTTACTGAATGTTGCACAAAGGTCATTACAAGATAGATGCACTTATCATTCTGAGTTATATGCAACTCTCAGAATGCAAAAAATGAAAACATAGTATAATATGTCCCGAGAGTACTTCAATAAGTTTTCAACATTATCGAAAGAGACCAATTAAAAAAAAAGTTCAAGAAGAGTTATACTAGACAAAAAAAATTGGTCTCCAAGTTAGGGTTGAAAATAGAGAAAATTGATTGTTGCGTGAACGGATGCATGTTATTTTATAGGTCAATTGCAACAGAGAATTAGCGCAAATTTTGTATTTCTTTGAGATTTAAACCTCAGAATTAAAAAATAAGAGGCAGAAGGAAGTTACTTGCCAACGTCTCTTCTATTTATCATTTATTCCACATCATTAGAGACTATTTGCTTCAATTTGTACTGCTCCACAAATAACAATACATCATAACAGGTCAGGGGATATCAACTCAATGAGTCATCCTACGGATGGAGAGGCATGGAATAGTTTTGATCGCATGCATCTTGATTTTGTTACGGAAGCACGTAGCTTGAGACTTGGCTTATGCTCTGATGGCTTCTCACCGTACAATCAGGCAACAACATCTTACTCTTGTTGGCCAGTGATCGTTACACTATACAATCTCCCCCTGAGATGTGCATAACAGGACCCTTCTTATTTTTGGTTTTGATTATACTAGGTCTCGGTAGTCCTAAAATTTGGATTGATGTATACTTGCAGCCACTAATAGATGAATTGCAGATTCTTTCAGAAAGAGGTGTCATGACTTATGATGTTACCGTGAAACATAATTTTCTAATGAAAACGGCATTAATGTAGACAATAAGTGATTTTCTAGCATATGAAATATTATCTAGATGGAGAACTGCAGAAAAGCTAATATGTACATATTGCATGAATTCATCTAAGGCTTTCATGCTCCAGCATGACAAGAAGAATTCATGGTTTGACTGTCACCATATATTTTTAGATGTTGAACATCCCTTCAGGAGGAACATAAATTTATTCAGAAGAAATAAAATTAAGAAATCAACTTCACCTCTAGAAGTATCCGGGGAAGATTTATTTCAGATTGTCAATGACATTCCAAAAATTATTGTTTGTTCCAAACTGTCTTCACATCATCCATTAGGCTTTGGTGAAAATTCATTTTTAGGATCTGCCTTACTGAAAGGATAACATGATTAGAAATAATTTCAATATGATGCACATAGAGAAAATTTTGTTTGGCAATACATTCAAAACTGTGATGGATGTTAAGAGAAAAACTAAAGATAACGTGAATTCTTCTAAAAGCTCGAGGAAAGTTGATCCCAACTGTCAAGCGGTGGTTCAGGCACATCTCACGATCCTTCTAAGTATGACCTGTGGAGGGAGGATGTCGGCGGTAAGAAGAAGGCCAGGGTCCACGAGTTGGGGTTCCAAGCGTCAGCCTATGATGCATGCCCAACCTTTAACACATATGGTGCATGTACTACCACTACACAGGAGGAAGAGATTCGTCACCATGTTGTTGTCTAAGTCTCCAACGACCTAGCCCTTTTAAATCGAAGATAGAACGAAAGAGGAAATCAGAGGTCGAAGCGGTGCTGCGTTTTGAAGTGAAGAGAGGGAAACTAGCAGCTAAGGATGATGACGAGGAGAAGACAGAGGAGAATGAGTTGGGGTTTATTTCCTTATATTTGTTTGAGTTAAACAATTTATTGGTTGCAAACAATATTTTTATTGGATAGTTGTTTATTTCATTTGGTTTATGCAATCGTTTTCTTTATTTATGTATATAATTTATACATTAATTAGTTTTTTTTACTTTGTTGGGTTGTGTAGATTACACTGTTACAATTGTAGTTGTGTACATTATAGTGTTGTAGGAGGACTTTATTTTTTTTTTTTTTTAGTTACAAATTTTTTACGACTTACCAATTGTTTTACGACTTTTTGATTATGTACTAACGGTTTTCCAACAGTCTATTGTACAAGCAAAATTTACACTGGGTGCAGTACATTTTTTTATGGATACAACCATAGATAATTATCTACGTTTAATCGACGGGTCTACTACACTTTACCCACGGATGACACTACACTTTTTCCGGTGGACTTACAACACTTTTTCTATGGATATATAAATTGGTTATATTACTGACAGATAAGCTACAATTAAACACAATATGATTTCAAACCAACAACGGCAGATACCATTCGTTGGATAACCTTTGGTGGTAAAAGAATTATCGGTAAATCCGTAGCTAATTTGATTACTAACAAGCGTTTTGCTCTATCGAATAAATCGTAGCTTGCATATCAGTAATTATATTATCTATGATTTTATTATTATTACCGACAGTATTGTATCGTCGGTAATAAACTAAATTCTTGTAGTGCTATTATAACTTCTAAAAAGTTAAATTCAACCTTTTATGCATAGGCAAGATGGTATTGCAAAATTTGAACTTTAAGTGCTAGATATATACATGGGAATTGAGTGGTATGCATTTATATAGTCATTTTTTTTAAAGCATCCACTCCCCTCTGCCATATACCCGTTACAACTTCATTAATGCTCAAATTTACCTAGCCCACAATGACCAAAAAAGTATTACGTGTAGTCGTCCATACGTTCGGACAGCCACCCACTGGTAGGCCACATCACCATGCATATGAACTTGGGGTGTGTCCGGATGTGCCTTATGTGAACACTAATATTATTTCCCCAACGAGACAAGTTAATGACACGAAAATCCACTTAGTTATTACAAAAGTAATTGAAGGAAATATCGCTAATAAAGAAATTATTTATTATGAAAATATTATGTAATTTATATCCTAACAAAAAAACACATATATTGCTAAAAAAGAATAAATAATATATTACCTTTATAAATATAATAATGCCAAGAGGAGCTTTAATGTGAAAGATGTATAATTCATGCCCAAAGTGTGGTACATCAGGCCTCCAGCAGGTGCAGCTGGTCATTCAACACGCAGTGTACGTGGCTCATTAAAGGCTTTAAATCAACTAAGCTGTTGGGTTTTGAATTGTTTGGACTACTTATAAATGTTAAATGTATAATATTGGCACTTGATGTGTAACGCATACCAGCTAAGATTAAAATTTTAGTTATATGGCTTCCGTTACAGGGAAGGTAATTAATGCCTGATTAATTGCT